CAAGTGGGATGCAGCGTCGGTACAATATTCACAAATCAATAAATGTGATACATCACATAAACAAAATGAAAGATGAAAATCACATGATCATATTCATGGATGGAGGAAAAAGTATATGATAACATTTAGAACACATTTATGATAGAAACTCTCAGCAAAGTGCAAATGGAGGGATTATAACACAACATAATAAAAGCCATATATAAAAAACCTACAATCAATATCACAATGGACAAAAACTAAAAGCATTTCTCTTATGATCAAAAACAAAACAGGAATGTCTGCTTTCACCACTCGTATTCAACATAGTACTGAAAGTCCTAGCCAGAGCAGTCAGACAAGAAGAAATAAAAAGCATCCAAATTGGAAAGGAGGGAGTAAAACTGCCATTATTCACAGATGACATGATATTATACATAGCAAACCCTAAATATGCCACCAAAAATCTACTAGATGGAATATATGAATTCTGAAAAGTATCAGGACACAAAATTAATATTCAGAAATTGTGGGGAAGCACAGGACTTGGTGGGAGAGTCTGTAAGGAGGATTCTCTGAAAGGTCAGAGGCCTCTGGGGGGTATTGCCAAAGGCAGTAGACCCTGCCTTGATTTTTCCAAACAAGTCTGAGCCCCCAGGTGTTTTACTAAAATCTTTATGTTTAGACTTCAAAACGTCCTTGTTTGAAAGACACTACAGATACAGGTGTTTTCTCAAGGATGCTTACCCTGCTGATTGTATCTAGAGGTTAATTTTAGTTTAAGCTGTTGTTACAATAAAAGCCTAAAGAGGCATGCGAACAGGGCTGTTTGCTCATTAAGCAAAACAGCCCCTTAGCCTTCTCTTTCACAGAAACATGTGTCAGAGTAATCATCCATCTGTTGTTCAGGGTCTGCTGGTCAGCCCCGGCAAGAAATCAGTGGCATTTTTATACACCAAGAAAGAGAAACTAAGAAACTAAACACATTTATTATTGCTATAGAAAAAAATTACCTAGGAATAAATTTAATCAAGGAGGCAACATTAAAGAAAGAAATTGAGGAAGATACAAATAAGTAGAGGCATACACCGTGTTCATGGACTTGGAAGAATTGACATCATTAAAATGTCCATACTACCCAAAGCAATGTATAGATTTGACACAATTCCTATTAAGAGAGCAATGGTATATTATACAGATCCAGAAAACTATTCAAAAAATTGAAACATTTAGAACCACAAAAGGTCCACGATAGCTTCAGCAATATTGAGCAAGTAGAGTAAAGTTGGAGGTATCAAACTATACTACAAGGCCAGTGTAATAAAAATAGCATGTTACTAAGATAAGACCGAGCAGGTAGATTAATAGGAGAAAATAGAGAGACCAGAAATAAATCGATGCCTTTATGGTCAATTAATACTTAACAAAGGAGGCAAGAGCATACAAAGGATTAAAGGCAATCTCTTCAATAAATGATGTAGGGACAATTATACCGGTACGTACAAAAACTGAAACTAGACCACCGATTTGTGCCATACTCATGGATAAGCTTAAAATGAATAAAAGACTTCAATAAAAATTGTGAAATAATAAAATTCCTAGGAGAAATCATAGGTAATAAAATCTCAGACATGTCTCATAGTGATATTTTTGCCTATATATCTAGGACAAAGGAAACAAAGGAAAAATAAACAAATAGGACTACATCAAACTAAAAAGCTTCTGCACAGCAAAGGAAACCATCAACAAAGTGAAAAGGAAAGCCACTGCATAGGAGAACATATTTGCCAAAGATACATCTGCTGAGGGCTTAATTTCTGAAATATATAATGTACTTATGCAACACCAGGAGGATAAATAATCCGATTAAACAATGTGCAAAGGACCTGAAGAGACACTTCTCCAAAGAGGACATACGGATGGCCAATAAACATAGAAAAAATGCTAACCATCACTAATCATCAAAGAGAGGCAAATTAACACCAAAATGAGGTATCACCTCACACCTGCCAGAATGGCTATCACCAATAAGTCAGCAAACAAGTGATGGCAAGGATGTGGATAAAAGGGCATCTGAGTGCACTGTTGGTGGGAATGCAGACTGGTGCAGCCACTGTGGAAAACAGGATGGAGTTTCCTCAAAAAATTAAAAATGGAACTGCCTTTTGACCTAGTGATACAACTTATGGGAATATATCCTAAGAATCCCAAAACACCAATTCAAACTAACATATGTACCCCTATGTTCATACCAGCGTTATTTATAATTGCCAAGATCTGGAAACAGCCCTAATGCTCAGCTTTGGTACACTTACACAATGGAATATTACACAGCCAAAAAAAAGATTGGACTCTTCCTTTTTGCAACAACATGGATGGAGATTATTATACTAAGTGAAATAAGCCAGTCAAAGAAAGAGAAATAACATATGATCTCACTTATATATGGAATCTATTGAACAACATAAACAAATGAATAAAATAGAAACAGAGGCATGGATACATGGAAGAGACTGACTACTGCCAGAGGGAACGGGGTGAAGGGGACTGGGTGAAATATGGTGAACGGATTAGGCAAAGCATGTCAAATTCAAAGGCTAACACGGGCCAAATAAACAAAGTTTAAGTTTATGTGGGCCGCAAAAAACCAAAAGCTTCAATTTTCATAGAAACATAGGTTTCTTTTGATAGAGACATGCTGAGTAAAAAAGGCTGAAATAAATGAGTAATCATTAACATAAAATAATAGAACATTTTAATAAATAATCATATTTTTTCTTGAACATTAACTTACCAAACACTGAATAACTGCACAAATTAATAAGCGTAATGCAAATAAACCTATTTTTCTTGTTCTCCAAAAGTGAAATATTTCCTGTTGCACAAACCGAACAAGTTAGTACAAGACGAAAGTCATGGCAATCGCCTGCTAAAATATTCAGTGCTAGTACTAGTGGAGAGAAAATGCATTAGGGAAATGAATGCAACACAATTATAGGAATCAGTCATTAGTGAACATTGTAGTTCCTTATTAATAATACTTTATAATAAAAGCCCAATATGCTAACTGTCCAGTCCTCTGGTCAGCCGTTCAACCAATCAAAGCTTAATATGCTAATGATATGCTAAGGCCGCTCAACCGCTCACTATGACGTGCACTGACCACCAGGGTGCAGACAGTCGACCGGTAGGTTAGCTTTCTGCTGGGGTCCGGCTGATTGGGACTGAGTGAGATGGGCCAGACACACCCTGGAGCCCAGACACACCATGGTCCCGCCCCAGCTGGCCAAACTCCCATTTCCCTCCTCAGCCCCAATCATGCATTGCTGGGGTCCCTCAGCCTGGCCTGCACCCTCTCCCAATTCAGGACCCTTCAGGGGATGTCAGAGAGTCAGTTTTGGCCCGATCCCACAGGTCAGGCCGAGGGACCCCACTGGTGCATGAATTCATGCACCTGGCCTCTAGTTATGTATAACAGGATATTGTCAAAATTAAGTTATGGAATTTTTTAAAAAATGTTTCTTACATACTGTTATATTGGCTTGGCCGCAAACATTTTTGTGGTGGGCCACATGTGGCCCGCGGACTGCGAGTTTGACATGCTTGGATTAGGCAAAGACCATATATGCACAACCTGTAGACACAGACAACAGTGCGTGAGGTATTTGCTAAGGGAAGGGAGGGTGAGCTCTGGGTGGAAGCAGGCATAAGGGTTAGGGAATTGGAGACATCTCTATTAGTGTAAACAATAAAAAAATTATCATGTCTTATTGAGAGTGATAGAAATTCAACTCAAATGAACCTAATAATTGGCCTTTATTTAGGTAATGTCACTGGAAAATCTGATTATGGGCCTCAAGTACCCTAAACACTATTGGTCTTTCTGTGTCTCTGCTCTGCTAGCCCATGCTTGTTTTTTGCTGTTGTTTGTTTTGTGTGTGTTTGTAGGCTGTCCCATCAAGGTAAAGAAGATGGCCCCAGTAGTGACAGACTCAAATCCTCTGACGGTGGCAACCCCACTGAGGAGAGAGGGCTTTTTCAGGAAGTAATGGCTTGCTTGCTTCATATATCCATGGTGAATATGGCACAATGTCCATGAGGAGAGGGCCTTGACAGGCTCAAGCCAAACTATATTACTATTCTGAGACAGGAATTGTGATTTGTTCCTCAAGGATGACCTAAGTGGAAGAGTACTTCATGCCTTTTAAATGCAATGATGATCATTCAAGTTTAAAGGAAAAACAGCAAAAATGAAATTTCAGTCCAAAACTTATATATTATATACCAGAATAATGTAACAATCATAGGAGTCAATGGACTGTTTCGTGCAATTTAAAAAATCCTGCATATTTATTTTCCCATTAATATAAAGAATGTATTGTGTGCTGAGTGTCTAATACGTGTCCTGCTTTTTGTATATATTATCCCTACTCTCCACAGCAAAACTGAGTGATTCTATTTTTATTCCTATTTTAAGAGAAGGAAAACTGTCATCATGGAAAAATTGCGATTAAAACCCAGATTTATCTTGAAGAAAAGAAAGAAGTTAATACGGGAAGTTGACGTGCCTAGAGGACAAAGCTGGCATCAAGATTTCATTCTCCCTCTAAAAGACCGCTAAATATTTCAGTGGGGGGAAACCGGGATTGTGTTCTTGAAAGTAGAAGGAAAACTCACACAAAAAGGCCTCTATTAAATCATCAGTGCGTGAAGGAGCCACAGAGCAATCGCCACAGTAGGAGAAGGTGCACAGAGTGGTCTTCCTGGTAGCGCATGCCCTACTCTCGCGTTGTTTCCTAGCAGGCGCGAGAGCAGGCGTGAAAGCAGGCGTCAACTGTACCCAGAAGCCCTCGGGGCTGAACTAGTGCGAGTGGAAGCTTCACCTTGAGAGGGCGTGCGTCCTTTGTGCTCTGAGGTACATACAGGCCATGGGGGCGATAACCAGTCGGCTGCTATATCTCTGGAGGGCCCATGTTCTAGAGCAGCTCGGTGCGGGTGGGGAGGAGCAGGAAGTGGGAGCCATGGCAGTAGTTGATGAGGTGGAGGAGGAGAGTGGAGAGGGCGGCTCCACCCCCAGGCAGGGTGGCGTCAAAAGGAAGGCCCACTCAGGAAGGCGTCACGAACAAGAGCCCCGCCGGAAACGCACCAAAGACAGTTCAGGTTCCGTTTACGAGGCACTCTTCTTGAGGGGTGAAGGCAGTGACGTGCAGATCCGCGCACTAGGGGCCGTGTGGAACTTGCACAGGGTCTACTTGTGCCAGTCAGGCTACTTCGCTAGCATGTTCAGTGGTGCTTGGAGGGAATCAACCATGAATACCGTAGAGTTGCAAATGCCTGACGACAACATTGATCGTGAGGCACTGCACGAGGCTTTAGGCTCTCTGTACAATGACTCCGTGCTCATTCAGCCCAGCCGAGTCGTCCCGATCCTGGCCGCGGCCAGCATGCTGCAGCTCGACGAGCTGATTCAACAGTGTGGGGAGATCATGGAGGAAACGGTTAGTGTCCATACCGTATGCAGCTACTACTACTCTGCCGGGAGCTACGGCCTCCCAAGCATCAGGACCATGTGCTTTCAGTGGCTGCTGCACAACCTGATGACTCACCGTGGTGAGGAACTAATTCGAGAAATCAGCCTGGATATCATGGAAGAGCTCATTGTCTCTTCGGAGCTCGTAGTGATAGAAGTGGAGATGGATGTGTACACAATGCTGAAAAAGTGATGTACT